GGAGGTGGGGCCAAAGAGGTAATTGGGAGCTAAATCATAGCTCTGCTAGGCCACATACAAAGGGGACTTTTCTGTAACTAATAAGGGAAAGCATAGAAACGTTGAACAGAAGAGTGGCTTTTAAATAGGATCCTTCTGGTTACTGAGTTGAAATTAACTGGAAGGGGGAAATAATGACCAGGTTTGCAGACTACTACCCCTTCCTTCTCTACTAGTCAAAACCATCATTACCTCTCTGGCCATACCTAGACACCCTCTTTCATCTTTTTCTATCCCGCTTTGTTCTATTTCCAGCCACCCAGTAGACTGCTTTCAAATGTTAGCTATACCTTGGCGCTACATTGGGGAAAGGGTCAGTAAAAGTTGAATTCAGGTAAAAGTGGTCCTCCCTTACCTTTCTTACCTTTCCAACCTTACTACCTAGGCCTCCTTATGTATATCCAATACACAGCCACAATGCACTCATTCAGCATTCTCAAACACTTCTATAGTCTCACCTTTCCCCTGCATGACTAGAATACTCCCACCACCCACCACCAGCTAACCAATGCATCAAGATTTTCAAGGTCCATCTCAAATCCTCCCTCTACAGTCAAACCTTCCCTAAGACCTCAACTCACTGCTGCTCTATCTGCCTTTGAACCTCACACCATTTTGTCTCTCTTTCTTTTATGGTCTTCCCATCCACACATGATCTGATTTCCTCAGTGGACTATAAGCTCAAGGAGCGCAAAATGTGTCTCATTTATTTTCAAACATGCTATAGCATGGAGTACAATATTTCCATAGAGTGAACAACAAATTAAATGATAATATGATCATCTAGCAACAAAACTGTCTTTCAATGGCATTTTTAAATCATTTGATCACACCAGATGTAATGGTTTCATTTGGCTAGGGTTACAAAAAATATCATACACTAATAGGCAAATGGCAAATGTCTAGCAAGAAAAAAGTCTGCTAAATTTTATATACTTTGTATACTTTAAATAATATGCTAAGCCTTTCAATTTAAAAAATTAAAAGTGAACATAAAAATAAAAGTTTTCAGGCCCTCCCAGGTGGCGCAATGGGTAAGGACACAGCACTGCAAGCTTGATTCCCAGCCATGGCGTGGCAGACCTCTCCTCACCTGCCCACTGCTCCCCTCAGCAGTGTACTTCGTCCATCTGCCTGTTCTGCTCCCCACTTGTCTCTAGTGAATCTTCTCACCATCCCTACCCCTCTTGCTTGAATCCCATTTCTGTATGCATAAATAAATAAATTTAAATAAATAAATAAAAGGCTTTTTATGATCAATTGCCACCAAAAAATTTCTATGCAGGAAGATACCCAGCTAAATTTAGAAGACTTTAGAATGCCTAACTTTAAACCTCAGGAAAATTGATTCACTTAAATATTTTTAGCATTTATTTTTATTAATAAGATCTTGATGCAATCAATGCTAATCGCTTTATGGGAAGGTGATGCAGACACCCTAAGATTTCTGCTTTTCCATTTTGTGGTGTTTTAAAACAGTCTTATTCCTGCATAATTTATAATATGAATCTGGAAACACTGAGTCAGAGTTTCCCAATGTCTATCATTAAAATGTGGAGGTGGAAAGTGGAAAACATTATATATTTTCTTCTATTATCATCTGGCAATAGAACTTTCCAAACAAACACCACTCTGCATAGCTGATAGCATTCTCTTTTAAGGAAATAAAACTTGCTATCTTTTCAGCTCCTTTTCAAAGCAGCTAATATTGGTAAGCAAATTTCAAATCTGAAAAAGGCCTGCTGCGTCCCAGATCAGGCTGCCCCAAGATGTGTGAAAGCAGCATATTTATTATTTTGAATTAAAAAAAAGAAACCAAACAGAGATTGAATGTAGCTCTAAACCACCCCTTTTCTTAAAAGTAGAATTTTTTTCTGACCATCTTCCCCTCTGTTGCCCTGAAGGCAGAAAATAATTCTTTATGTGAAAGGAAGTCTCCACACACAGAAAATGACACCTTTTCATCAGAGACAAAAATAAGAAGTAATACAAACAAGCTCTGCTTAGCTCACTAAATTCACTGTCCAAAACAAAAATTTCAAATATTTCTTTTTCTCATGTTTGTCACAGATTTATTGCATCTTTGTCTAACTGCTATAAAAACTGATGCTCTGGCCCTCCCTGGTGGCGCAGCAGCTTGAAGTGCTGCACTGTGAAGCTAAGCCAAGTTTAGCTTCAGTACTGCGACTGATTCAGTACTACTTCAACCCCTGTCCCAGAGGTGACCCACATGCTGCAGGAGACCTCTCCTGACCCGCCCGCGGCTCCCCTCAGCAGTGTACTTCATCAATCTGCCTGTTCTACTCCCCACTCTGTCTCTGGTGAAGTCTCTCACTGCCCCTGCACCTCTGGTTTGTACCCCATTTCTGTACGCATAAATAAATTATTAAGCAAAACAAAACAAAACAAAAACAACCTGACGCCATTCGAAACACACTAGGTTCCATATCTTATGGACCGCTATATACATGAAATTAAATTTGTCTTTTCTCTTGCTAATCTCTCTCATGTCAGTTTATTACTGGACTAACCACAAGAGTCAAAGGAGGAGAAGCAGGAGATTCCCTGAAAATTTCCCCGACAGACCAAAAGAAGCCCTTTTCCAGAAAACAAGACAAGGGAAAAGAGGATCTAGGAGTCAAATTCAGAGTTAACTCAAAAAGAAAGCCTTTACAATGGCTCTCTAGTTCAAAACCTTAATAATGAATTTCCACTTTATAATACAAATATAATGCAAAGCAACAGTAAAATGATTCTCAATGATTTAATTTATCCTTTTGAAGTCAGATTCAATATTTATTTGACTGTCATTTCCTATAGGTGGCAGTTATTAGATACTCTAAATGAAAGCAATATGGGCAAAATAAATTTGAATTAATTTGAAATATTCTGATTGAGCATGATTGCAATATCAACATTATTTGAATCATTTTTATAAGTCATTAGCCTCCTAAGAGAAAACAGGATATCTCTTTAACAGGAGAAAGTGTTGCTTGATGTTCCAGTCTAAATGCCACTAAAGGAGTTTGTACAAATGAAAGTAATAAATTGAACTAGTTCTGTGTCCTAATTTGGAGAATTAGCCACAAATGTGAGATTTAGGTACAGGATGAAAAAGTAGAGAATTTATCAGAAATGCTGATCAGAAAAAAAGGATAGAAACAGATGTTATAAACCATCTACCCATCATTGTTAAAATGCTCCTCTTATTCTTTGTTTAAAAACAAACAAACAAATATCCTGAAACATCAAATTGAGCATAGTAAAGATAGAAAAGAAAAATTCCTAGCAATGTAAAAACATATCCAATAAGATTCCATTTTGAAAAATAATTTTTAAATTCCAAGATGACATATCACTTTTGAAGCTGTATGTTTTCCCTTCAGAAACCACTTTATATTCTCCATAAATTAAGGCTCTTTGAGGCTATTTCAGTGCTGTGAATTCTTTGACATCTACCTTGTTTTCAGTTGACTTATTAAAAGAAAAAAAAATCACTCCTGGCCCTCCCTGGTGGCGCAACGTTTTAGAGAGAAACAACACAAGCTGGTTGTAGCCGCTTCAGTGTGAGTTCAACTCCCAGCCCCAGAGGTGACCCACATGGCACAGCAGACCTCTCCTGACCCACGCCCCTTAGCAGTGTACTTTGTCAGTCAGCCTGTTCTACTACCTGCCTCTCAATGCCCCCGCACCTCTGGCCTGTACCCCAGCTCTGTATGCATAAATAAATAAATATTTTTAAAAATCACTCCTTTGTCATAGTCATAATGGCCCATAATAGGTCCATGAATGATGGGATAGTCCATATGGTGAGAACTCAAGACCACAATGGCATCCATAAAATCCTTCACCATCATAGAGCAGAATAAATATGGACAGATTCCAAAATACACATTGTCATAAAATAATGGGGCAGGGACAGGAGATGTGTGAAACTTAACTGGGAAGAAGCAGTTTCAATGAACTGTCAGCCACCTGCTTTGAGCAAATATAGTATTTAAAAAGTCCAATCAAGCCAGCACAATTGAACCAGTCTAAATGGACTCTTACTCTCTGACTTTGTGTATATAGTCAAAGCAAGATGATAATATGCTTATGATAATTTTAAAACAATCTTAACTGATATAAACATCTGATAAATATTATACTTTATAACTTAAAAAATTTCAGGAAAGAGGCAGAATCTAATAGATGTATATCTGTTTCTAAGAGTAAAGGGATTAATTGTTACTCAATTGATATCTGGTATCCTGGAAAAAAAAACTGTCTATTTAATTGCTTATTATCTTTATTTTCAAGAAAAATAAAATGAAAAATGGCCTGTACATATCACAGAAACTTCTGGATGTTTTCACACTGGACTGGGAATTCCATGCCTTGCTGCCCTTTTCTCTGACAATTTAGAAGCATTTGACAGCCACTGTTTAACCCTTTCCTAGTGGCAGGTGTTATATTTAAATAATGAGCAAGTCATTCACCAAACCACTGGTCCCCTGAAACCAACAATCCTTTATATGTTGCAACAGTATTTTAAAAATCAGATATCTCTAATTATAGTTAATGACATATATATAAATGCATTTATCTTCAAGATCTAAAATATCTATCTTTAAGCACAGGTAGTGCTTCTAAACTACCTGTTAAGGACCATTTATTTAGTTAATATTCTTTTCAGTCTATCATATATTGATATTTTGAAAAATATATTGAAGATGAATTAGAAAATGTATATAGAAAACATACAAAATGACAGCACAATGTATCACATTATTATTTATTATTATTATATTCAAAAGATATAAAAATGACTGTCGATTTTTTAAATTTCTCACTCTCAACTTTGGTTAAGTTACTTAGCTAGACCAGTAAACAGCTGGCAGGCAGCATTGCCTGGGAATCACTGTTTGAGAAGCCCTCGTACAAAGTAGCATGCCCTTATTTATTCAAAAGGTGTACTTTACCTCTGATGTCCTTTCCAAATCCCATAGAAGAAACTTTTTTGTCCACTTGTTCGTTATTGTTTGATTTCTCCTTCATCACGTCATCATCATCATCATCACTAACAACTTCAACAGAAAATTTTTTCTTTTTCTTTTTCTTGTGTCGAGGTGGAAGCTTTTTTGGAAAAGTAAACATTGGGAATATCACAAGAAACATTGCAATGGCACAAAGGAGGAATCCACTCCACCTAAAAAATTGGGAAATATGAATGGCATTTGGGCTTTTGCAATATATGTGAGAACAAATAGCAACTCAGAAGCTTGTGATGATAAATTTCTCAGAGGAAACTTTTGCCATTAACAGTTACAAAGTTAAAAAATAAATAAATAAATCAGTTGCAATGTAATAGGAAGTTGGATAAACTAAGAAAACATAGGGACCCTCCCTTTCTGAGCCATAAATGAGAAATCTACCCCAAAATTATACTACTATTACAATGAGTATTGAGAACTTCTCTCCAGTATTTTTGAGCACATTCATGCTATTTCTTTAAATCAACATTGTTAATACTGTACAACTTGTATTTTATAATAACATAACTCACAAATTTAATAGAAAAATAATTTAGTCCTTATAGCACACTTCATGTATCAATATAGACATATTTTTCTTAAAAGAAAACAATTGATATCTCACATAAATTATACTTGAGACTGACAATGTCATTCAAATATTTTTCTTCAAGCACTATGAATGTATTGACTCCTGTGACATGGTGATTTATTAGCAATATCTATTTAGTCTAAGTCTAGTTTCTAACACAGAACTCCAAAAACCCCTGAAATTTTAAAGTGTATAAGTTTGTTTTTCTATGTCAATGAGGTGAACTTGGAAAAGTCCCTACTTTTTTTTAATTATTATTATTGATTAAACTTGTTGACTTCCTTACATTATTGTTCATTTTTGTACAATAGCTTATTTCTCCCCAGGTGTAGTCCCTATAAATCTTCCACCACCATATTACCCGTGATAGTCCCATGCGCTCTTCCCTCACCCTCTGTATAATACTTCAGACCTACAGTTTGCTTGCAAGTTTTGTTGAAAGCATCTACTTAACCTTAGAATGGAGGCTGGTTGTCTGGGAAACCAACCTTATGATTAGGGAATGGAAATATCAGTCCTACCCCAAATCTTCCTACAGACAAAATATGTTCCATCTCCAAAGGCTAATGATTTAACCAGGCATGCTACCAATAAGACTGCCATAAAAAAACCAAATGGGAGGTTCAGGAGCTTCTGGTTTATGAGCTTGTAGCAGCAAGGACAGTGATACACTGGAATAGGGCAGGGAGACCCTGCGGCATCATTCCCATCTAGGTGTTCCTTAGCTATAACCTTTTATAACTGATCAGTGATGGTAATTTTTTTTTCAGTGAGCTGCTCTAGCAAATTAATCAAACCCAAGAAGCAGTGCTATAAGAACATCCATTCTATAACCAAATGATCAGAAATAGAAGTGAAAAAAAAATCAGACTTTCTATTAAAATCTAAAGCCACTGGGGTGGACAAGTCTGTGACACTGAACCCTCAATCTGTGTGATCTGATGCTATCACCAAGAAGAGAGTGTTAGAATTTACTTGAATTGTAGGAGCCCCAACTGGGTGTCAGAGAATTACCTGACGTGGGGAAGAAACCACACATCGTCATAATGGCCAGAACCATCAGTACCTCTTAACAGCATTCACAATCCTTAAGCAAGTAGAAGGGCTATCAAAGATATTACACCTGATCTTTGCCTTCAAGAATATGCAAGGTAGGTATAATCCAGGTAAACATATAAAAAATAATCCCCAAAAATGTATATATATGATTAAGTGATAGACTACTTATATATAGACTGTAAGTGTTACAAAATTTTGGAAGGGAAATCAAGACATGGTAGGAGGAGCAGAATATAGTTCTCTAGAAGTGAGACTCTGTCTTTCAGCTCCTCTGAAGTGACCATGCTGTGAAGACCAAAAGCACATGCCCAGTGGAACACAAATTCTAGCTCTGCATTAAGCCATGGGCTAAGGACTTGATCTTCTTGCTGCCTATTCCACATGGACAATTTCTTAATGCCCTTAAGCCATTTTTTAAGCAAATAGAGAACTCATTCCTACCTAACAGGGTTGTCATTTCCACAGAATTCCTCAACTCCAAACTCTCTTTAAAGCACCCACACTCATAAATGCTCAAATTCCATTTTCTGTATTAACAGGGGTCATCACTTGAGATAGGAACGCAAGCAAATTTAAGCATTCATGTAAAATTCAAATCAGTAAGAATATAGATTCATTTCATAGTGATAATCCATTTTTTAATAATAGTGCTCTATTAAAGTGCTACTATCAGCTGCTAGAGGTCACAGTGTAGCTAAAAGAATAATTCTTAGAACGACACATTTATAACCCATTATGTTAATTTCAAAGATATTTAAATCACTATCAAATAAAAAGATATTTAAACAATCATAAAATGAGTTTATTTTGAGAAATGTGCTCAGAGCAGACTTCGAGAAATCTCAATTATTCAGAATACAATCATGAACTTAGCACCTGACACAGATATTGTACTCAAAAAAATTCCTTGAATAAATACTTGACTTCAATTTTTGTAAAACCTATCTCACTCATCTATCTGTAAGAGGCATAGCTACTATGTCTGGCTCTCATATTTGGCTGCTTATAAGGCCGTCACTAATCTGGCCCTTTCTTTTGGGAAAGTGTGTTCAAATCCGTTGAGCTCTTTCAGTTCCCCAGGTCTCTCAAGAGAAAAAGCTCCTTTCCTCTCTTCTCTCCAGAACAGGGCAGGCAGCATTCCTGTAAGGGATGGTGTTTAACTGGGACTTTGACAGACCCAAATTTTTATCCTACATTTTCTTAACTCTAATATCCTATGGAAATTATCTCACTTTTCAAAAAGGGCTTTCTAATCTGAAAGAATAGTAATAATAACTGTTTTACAGGATCACTCAAATTTATAAGACTATTTATCTTTAAAGAATCTAATAAAATTCCTGCAGCAAAATCAGCAATCAATTCATGGTAACTAGTTTTGTGCGTTGATGATTTGCTCTCAGGCCCCATCCAGATACACTGAGTTAAAATTATATGTAAATATTAAAGATACCCAGGTAATAACCTAAAGTGAGAGCAAATAACAGTAGAAGGTAAAGAATTAAAGCAAATAACTGATGGCACAAGGGCTTAAGTCTCAGCACTATGAAGCCATTGCAGAACTAGCTCCATCCCCAGAACTGACCCACATGGTACAGCAGACCTCTCCTGTCTCACCCACTGCTCCCCTCAGCAGTATATTTCAGTAGAGCTGCCTGTTGTGCTCCCCACTGTCTATGGTGAATCCTCTCATTCCTCCCACCTCTGATCTACACCCCAGCTCTTGTATACATAAATAAATAAAATAAATACTTTTTTAAAAAATAAAGCAAATATGTAAAAATAATATAAAAATCAGGTCATTGCAAAGCAGAACAAACCAACCCACCTAACTTCACTGGCCTCCAGTAATGATATAAGCATATGACATAATTATAGTGCCAAGAGAGCCCAAAGAGAAGCTGAGTAAGACAATAAGGGTCGAGCTGGATCAAACAACAAAGTATATGGGACAAGATACATCAGTAAGAGCTAAAATTAAAAAGTCAGGGTATCTACCTTTCATGAATCTTACCTCAAATTAATCAACAAGAATGTGGAGGGAGGGAAACTGTTAGTCTGCCCTGGACTTAGCTTCTTATGCCATCTTTTATTGACCTGAGACTTTGGGCAAAGAATTCAAAACACTGAGCATCAGTTTCCTCATCTGCAAAATGGGTATATTAGTGACGATAGGAATTTGCCATACATTTACCTGAAAATGTTTTTAAAGCTCTTAGTGTGATGATTGACATATAGTAAGCCTCTGATAAATATTAGCGATAAATAGAAATTATTCATCCATTCATTCCTTCACCTTTTCTATATGCTTATTGAAAAACCTCTCTTAAGTGGTAGGTATCCTATAGAATAACACTGCATCAAGCAGCATGTCTTTGTTCAAACCTGTTTCAAACAGCACTAGTCACTAAATAGAATTCATTTTAAAGAAACCCCTATTACACATTCCTATATTGATAAATGTTATCATTTGTAGAGCTAATATTGAGTCATTAAAATGAATTAAACTACTTGATCATTGGTTAAATTTAAAGAACTAGCATCTATATAGCAAGAATTACAGATAGACTCATTATTCCTCACAGCCCTATGAAGGAGGTACTACAATTATTTCCACTTTATGCGTTTAAATTAAAAAAAAAAAAACATAAACACAGAAGTGCTAAGTAACTTTCCCAAGGTCATGTAGCTGTGAAGTGGAAGTTGCTATCAGTTAGATTGCTGTCTACTAGAAAACTTTTAAAAGACAGCATAAAAGTACTTGTCAGTCTCAAGCAACTGGCTTTCCCCCCTCCCTACCCCAAGTTGATCCTCCTTGCCTTTTCTCTCCCTCTACCATGCTCTTCTCATGGACATCTATATAGAAAACGGAACATATAGTGGACATCATAAGTATATTTTAGTTTTCTAAAAATTAAAAAAAAAAATCTTGCCCCTGACTTATTTCATAACTGCAAAGAAAACAGTAATAGAAACTAAAAATTTCATTATTGAAATAACTTAAAAGTCCTATGTTATTCCCCTAAAAGTAAGAAGGAAGTTGCATTCTTTCCGGAATTTTAAAATTCCACCGAGTCAAGCTCATGTAGATCTTAGTATTTCCATCTTCAGAGAGTGTATCTTACAAGAAGTGATCTATAACTTAATATTTGCTAACTGCTTTGAAAACAGTCTCAAGACTATTTCCCACAGCACATAGTTATGAGCTTATTATTTCATAGTGAAATACAAGTACTCTAAGAAACTCTTTAGAAAGCAATTACTTGACATTAATGTCTAATACCAAAATATTCTCTTCTATAAAATGCAAATTTCTTATAAGCACATGTATATTACTAATCCATGTTAAATGAATCTGGGATGACATAGTCTCGACTAGTGCTTGCAATCACTAAGAGAAAAAAAAAAACCAACATATTATATTCAAGTTTTGAGAATCACAAAGAACTTAAATAGAGCACTGAATATTTGGATAAATAAAATAACACCCAAAACTAAAGTTCTCATTTATTTAGCAAGAAAATTGGGCGCTAGCAAGTGACAGAGCAGTTAAATCTCTAGCATACATAGGGAAACCAAGCTCTTTCCACACATAGTTACCAAGTGACAAGATTCACTAGGAGCATGATGATAGAAAGTAGGACTAGAGTTCTGGCCAGTGGGGGGAGTCTGACAAAGCAGGAACACAGATATAATAAGGAAATGGGAAAAATCATTTTATACTAGATAAAAATCATTTTATAAAGATAGAAAAGATGATGAAAGCTATGATTAAAATGTCCAGGAAAGTCCTGACACCATCACATTGAACTGCTCCAGTCTGCTACAAAGAAAACAATCCTAAAGAGTATGGATTAAGTTGATGTTCCCAAACTGGCTATATTAATTTCCTCTGGCTGCTAAAACAAATGATAACACAGAGGTTTAAAACAACACAAATGTATTTTCTCAGATGTCTGATAATTAGAAGTTTAAAATGGGTGGGCAGGACTGTATTTCTTCTGGAAACTCTTGGGGAAGACCCATTTCCTGGCTTTTCCTATCTGCTAGAGTCCACCAGCAATCCTTCGCCCACGGTGTCATCTGAGCAGATCACTCCAATCTCTGCTTTACCATCCCCTCTTAGTTGCCTTGTAACTATTTTTTTCATCTTCCCATTGGGAAAAATTTTATTTGAACTACCATGACGCTACGAGTTAATTATCAATAACAATAAGTAAAATGAAAATTTTAGTAAACAAGTCTTACCAGTTTCCAATGAAACGAGGGTCACTCTGATCAAGGTGAACAGGATTTCTGGGGTCAACATAAAAACCAATAAGAAGACCACCTAATAAATATCCCACTGCAGGACCAAGTGCTCCCATGACATACATGATGGCTGGGAAGACAGAAGGGGAAATGTGAAATATAACAACATGTTGTTCATGTTCTGGTAGCCAGACCATGCACGAGCCACAATTAAATCCAATTCACAACTTCCAAAAAACAGAGAACTTTACATATTAAATCTATGTGTGTCGCTATTTGGGTTGCCAACCAATGGTCCTTATTTAATTATTATTATTCTCTTAAAATATTAGAATCCTCTAGAGAAACGTTTGGTCAATTTTGTTTCATTTTTCTTTTTTAAAGATTTATTTATTTGTGCATACAGAACTGGGGTACAGGCCAGAGGTGCAGGGGCTGTGAGAGGATTCATTAGAGACAGAGTGGGGAGCAGAACAGGCAGATCGTGGAAGTATACTGCTTGAGAGGAGCAGGGAGCAGGTCAGGAGAGGTCTGACACGCCATGTGGTCACCTCCGGGGCAGGGGGGATCCAACTCATAAGGAAATAGCTTTAGCCTCTTAGTGCTGTACTTTAACTCTCTGTGCAACCAGGGAGGGCCCACTTTTGTTTCATTTTTAATATAAGTTATCAGACCCCTCCCCCACCCAATAACCCCACCTGGTTCATGAGGCAGTCACTGGATAATCAAGATATCAAAGGAAGTCTCAAGATAGGAAAAAAAAGAAAAAGGTAGATGTCATTTACACAACTGGGAGAGTCTAACGATTATGGGAACTCAATGCCAGATTTTCCCTTGAAGGTGGATGATGCCCTCAGATAACTAGTATTGTTCAAGTTACCACTTTAGAATTAAAAAAAAAAATGCTCACAACACATTTGATTTACTGTTAGCTGAGGAATCTTGATTAAAAATTACTAACTCTCCTCAAATGCTATGAATCAGAAGGTCCAAATGGAAAGTACCATCCACAGCTGAATTAAAAAAAAAAAACAATAAAGCATGTGTCCAAAGCAGGGGTGAGGTGGGGCCTTACTATAAGTAGATCAAAAATGTTTTACTTTTACCAAAAAAATGTTGTCATCAAAATTAACATTCCTTCATTCCTTTCATTGATTAGACTGTTCCAATCTTCCTTAACATTTATTTTACTCCTGTGATTTAAAATTTTAAATAAACGATATTTTGCTAATTTTTAAATTTTAAGGTAAGATATAAACTTCCTTGAAAGTCACAGAAGACTCTAGCCACACTACACAGCAACTATTTTTCTTGTTGAAATGCAGTTATTTGGAGACATCAATAAACACTCTTGTGTGCTGAGAACAAACTCTTGATACATGTCTCTTGTTTCTATAGCCATCACATGCATTCTAATCACCGAATAAATAAGTGGGTTACTGATTACTTTCAATAGTGCCTGTTTATCAGAAAGCAAAGTGGAATAATCAGAATAGCTACACCTTACTTTATCATCTACACCTATATAAATTTAGACTAATCTTGTACCTTCTGTTACTTTTAACTACAGACAGTAATTTAACACCTGCTCTCACTTTTCACACTATCCCAAAAGAAAAAGTGCGGTGTTTACTTCACAGAATCATCTGCTTGTAACAATAAGACATTTAAGTTCTTCAACTTCTCCATCTGTGTTTGGAAATGGAGAATAAAGGCACAACCTCAAGTAATGGGTATTCTTTTGAAAACATGGATTTAATAGAAATTAAAACTTTGATAAATATTAACTTAAGCTCTGTTTACAGCCTAAAACAGACCTCAAGAATAGAAAGTACTTTTTCAGTCCCAGGTATTCCCATATGCATATGAAGATAAAATTTATGTTTACACCTTCAGGCAAACCAGCACCATTTAGAACTTAAAACTGTAATGAGGCCAAAATGTGACATGAATCATCTTCCCAAAATAGTTCTTCTGGCACGAAAGAGACCGTCTTACAAACACAGACCGGGAAGAGGGTATTTCCGCCATACTGTTTATGCCTGCAGCACTTGAGAACAGCATTTCAGAGTGCCAAGAAGCATTGTACAACATGCAAGCTGGCAGGACGTCGCAATTATCCAGTGAATGGGAAGCCAATTAGATAACTACTTTATGAAATACAGATGTAGACTTTTTAAAATTTAGCTATGTAATCAGGGAATTTTATTACGTAGCAAATACTTTTAAGTCCTTTGAAATCATTTTTATTAACAGAAAAATATATGCATATCTTATAACTATACAATATGCAATACTATATATTGTAACTATACTATATATAAATATATTAAAATATGTGAATGTGTGTGTGTGTGTGTGTGGGTGTATCTCAATAAGTGATATAGAACATGGTCCCATTTAGTAAATAAATCACTTTGGCCATTCAGTTAACATTTATTATTTGATTATCCAATGGCACTCTTTTAGAACTTATTAGAGAGGCCAGGTGTTGAAGTAAACCCATACCAGTCTCCCTATTAAAAATTTCTAATCGCCCCTCAATGCCTCAAGAAAGAAGTTTAATTTACTCTACCTGGCATTCTGGAATGGGACAAGCTGCATTTCAATTTGAAATTTACTGTTCAGCAATACTCAGAACATGTTTGGGAGAGTTTTCTCCCTTTCCCTGAAATCCCACAGTGCTCCTGAGTCTTTCTACCTGCCTCAATCTTACCCCTTCTTCAAGTCCCACCCCATCCAGCAGAGTGGCCTGTCTCCTCAAGGTCCTTGAAACTATACACTGTCTATTCCACAAGCCTCCTTAGCATGCATTGTCATCAAACACATTTCTTTTATGCATCTTGACCAGTCCTCCAACTAGAACATAAGGTCTGCCAAATGATGCTCACAAAGGAATTCCTGTCAATGATGTTCACTGCTGAGCTCCTTCCTGTGACACATTCATTACCTCGTTACTCTCTTCCAGCCAATGAAACTTCTATTGTCATTAACAACAAGCAATATCAGTGATGAGCCTCTTCCTTGGTGTGTATCATTTCAATGACAGCAGGAATCTGTTGCTAACCCACTGAGGGGTGTGCTGACCGCTATATTTGCCCACATGTAGGAGACTCGTAGGAGACTCCAAGACCGGATAGAACCAAGCAGAAGCCTGGGGTCTGGAGTCCAAAGTCTGTTTATTAGGACTGCCCCTGGGTATATATAGGGTCTGTACATGCAAGGAAAAACAGGAAATGTGCTTGAAGCTGGGAGTGGAGTGCATGTTTATACCTGGCCTGGGGCTTCTTGTAGCTTTTACTTGAAACAAAGTAGTGGGCTGCAGCTATTTGCGGGACAGAGTGCACTGTGCTCTGCTGACTTGTTTGTTGGCCTTACTGGGGAGTGTGCTCACCCATGCACAACATTAGCCAGGGCAGGTGCACTTGAAGTCCTGCAGAATTAGCCACAGGGACCAATCCATATTTCAATTGATAATTTTATCTTTTGGGGTTGTGTCTCATTAGACCTTCATTGGTTTCTCTCATGATGAAGAACTTGTACTCGCAGTCCAAACTGTTCTACAAATTAGAAATAGAAATAAAATTCCAGGTTTTTCTTTCTACACTACATGGATTGTCGAACATGCCCATGCAAAACTCCCCTTTGAAAGAACACTGGGCCATTCTATTCATTTGAGATGAAGCATACCCTGCTCTTCTACTTCTCCAAGTATTTCCATCTTAATTTTGGATGTCCCTCCCAGCATTAGCCAACTCCTGGAGATAATGAACAACTCACTTGAGAGTGAGTTCAACTGCAAACCAGTCTACCCAGAGTCTGCTCCAACCACCTTTTCTTTAACCCCAGTCTCAAGGCCACTGTTCACCTGCCCTAAACACCCTGTGACCAGGTACCAAATGAAGTTCAGCCCCCCTACACTAGCTTCTGCAAAAATTTTTCAGAGTAGCCAGTTCTAATCCCATGAACCCTGCCTATCCACTCCTCCCCGGGACAGCACAGTCAAGATTCTTACTCACTATTCTTCACCTGCTTTGTCTACTACTGATATTGGGCTTCCTCATAGGGCCCTCTATGATATGTGTGCCCTTTCTTGGCAACTGTGAGTTACAAACTATCTTTGCAATGGCAATTGTCTCCTCATTTGTTGACCTCAACAAATCTTAATTTTTCTATTAACACACTGTTTTAGAAAAACATCACAGTCAAAGAACTTCTTCACCCTTCTCCCTAACCTATGCCTCTGGCTTCCATTATGCCTGGGTCAGCTTCCTTCCTTCCTTGGAAAGTCACCACTTGCCATCAGTCTCCGCATCACAGATGTAGATACAAAAACACCTGAAGTCATCTCACTCATTCTTGCTTCTCTTGTTATCACACTGCTCATCTCACATTTCTATCCTCACCTGACCCCAGCCTGTCTCCTGTAACCTTGGACATTATTTCTGCACTGATATCTTTATCGCATCCTGCCCAGCTAAGATGCTGATGTCTCCCAAACTAAACCCCAGGAATGACCCCTGCCCAGACAGAGTCTCTGCTTTCTATATGCAGCTGTGTGGGTCATTCCCTATTATTTCCCCAGAATGTTTTATTTATCTCTGAACTTACAGCTGGCTGTCTACAGCCCAATGGGTCACACACTCCGTCTTGTAAAACCCAGCCTCCTATGGACCTCCTCTGACCAAGGGAAACCCCAGGAATGTCTCTCTTTGAGAGACACTAGTGACACTGTAGTTACAATGGCTTGTGTGTTACTTCAAATGTGCAATATAGTATTTACTTGAGCCACCAGGCTGTGCATTCCATTTCTCTCTTCCTAAACTACCTTTTACACTATGCTATGATCACTTGTGCTTTTTATATGAAAGCATATTAATTTCTATTTTTGACCACATTTATTTTATGACCACATTTTTAACATTTCCCCTAGACTCACCATGATGTATCTCTCTTACATAGAAACTGTTTTAGCTTTTGAGCCTTATCTTTAAGTGTATTTTATCTTTTTAAAATATTTTTCATAGAGCTTTTAATTCACTTTCAAGTATTTCTTTTAAAATTATTTGTCATCTTCTATTTCTCACACCTCAGGTTTCCTTACTTAGTCCCATTTACATTAGTTTTTTT